TCAAGACCAGCCTGGCCAACATGGAGAAACCCTGTCTCTACCAAAAATATAAAAAAATTAGTTGAGTGTGGTGGTGCACACCTGTAATCTCAGCTACTCGGAGGCTGAGGCAGGAGAATCCCTTGAGCTTGGGAGGTGGAGGTTGCAATTGAGTCAAGATCCTGCCACTGCACTCCAACCTAGGTGACAGAGTGAGACTCCATCTCAAAAAAAAAAAAAAAAAAAATTGTATCCTGAGACGCCTTCCCTGCCTGCATTAAAGAAGCCCCTGTTACCATAGCCGCTCCCTGTTGGATCATCTTGTCAGATTTCCCTCGTTGCACCTATTATTATCTGATATTATCTTCCTTATTTACATGTTTACATTTTTTTGGCACCCTTAGTAGTGCCACAAGAGCCAAGATTTTTATGTTTTGTTCACTACTACATCTCCCATACCTAGAATGGTGACAGGTACATAGGACTCAATAAATACTCAGAGAGGCTGGGCGTGGTGGCTCAAGCCTTTAATTCCAGCACTTTGGGAGGCCGAGGCGGGTGGATCACGAGGTTGGGGTTTGAGACCAGCCTGGCCAACATGGTGAAACCCTGTCTCTACAAAATATACAAAAATAGCCGGGTGTGGTGGTGTGTGTCTGTAATCCCACCTACTTGGGAGGCTGAGGCAGGAGAATCACTTGAGCCTGGGAAGTGGAGGTTGCAGTGAGCCTAGACTGTGCCATTGCACTCCAACCTGGGTGACAGAGCAAGACTCCATCTCAAAAAAAAAAAAAAAAAATACTCAGAGAATGAACACAATAAAGTGGCTTTTGGGGATCCTATGTGTGAGTATCCAGGCATTTGATTCCTTTTCCCAGCTCTGCGAAAGAGCCAACTTTATAACTTAATTCCTGAGAGGTAATTTGGTGCAATAGAAGAGCACAAGCTTTGCATCTGCTGCTTGCCAGCTGTGTGACTTTGAGCAAATTACTCAACTTCTCTAAGCTTCAGTTTCCTCTTTTGTCCAATGGAGATATTATTGATCCCAACAAGGCTGTTGTAAAGAGACAACATAGGACTTGTAAGCACTTATTGAATGTTATTTCTCTTTTCCTTCATGATTTCTGAATCTTAGTTGCCCCATTCATAAAATGGGAGACTTGCATATCTGCTTTTTCCTTTTTAAATTTAATTTATTTTTTATTTTATTTTTATTTTTTGAGACAGAGTCTCACTCAGTCACCCAGGCTGGAGTGCAGTGGCGCGATCACAGCTCACTGCAAGCTCCACCTCCCGGGTTCACGCCATCCTCCTGCCTCAGCCTCCCCAGTAGCTGGGACTATAGGCGCCCGCCACTACGCTCGGCTAATTTTTTTGTATTTTTAGTAGAGACGGAGGTTTCACCGTGTTAGCCAGGATGGTCTCGATCTCCTGACCTCGTGATCCGCCCGTCTCTGCCTCCCAAATGCTGGGATTACAGGCGTGAGCTACCTCGCCCGGCTAATATCTGCTTTTTCAAGCGAAGTGGCTATTTTTCAAAGGAAGCGGAATTTGTATATTTTCATATAAAATATATTTTTATATTAAATATCCCAATTTATTTTTTTTTTCTTGAGACAGAGTTTCGATCTTATTGCCCAGGTTGGAGTGCAATGGCGCGATCTCGGCTCACTGTAACCACTGCCTCCCAAGTTCAAGTGATTCTCATGCCTCAGCCTCTGGAGTAGCTGGGATTACAGGCGTGCACCACCACGCTGGGCTAATTTTTGTCTTTTTAGTAGAGATGGGATTTCACCATGTTGGTCAGGCTGGTCTCGAAATCCTGACCTCAAGTGATCCACCAGCCTCCGCCTCCCAAAACGCTG